TGTGAAGAGGTCCAACTTGGATTTTTTTGTGCCTACGATCTTCGCGGGCCTGATCGTTGCCGGTTCTGCCTGCGTCGTCCGATCTTTGGGTTTCTAGGAGGCGAGGGTGAGATAAGTTGAAATTGTTGGTTTGATAATCCTGATCCCATTGCTGTTTTACTGTCACCTATTATCTAGGAACCAGTTTGTTTATTAACTACTCTTTAGGACTTAGTGCAGGACGTGTCAATCTGCATGTTATCCATGTAACCTTGTTTTTAGGAGTTAGTTGCTATTTATTTGGTTGTATTGTTGATGTCTTCTGCCTATATAAAGGCTGTTATCAGTGAAATAAATAAGTAGTTCATATCAGAAAAATATTTTAGTTTAAAACTCCTTTTACTACTGCATTTCCTTCTCTTTCTCTATCAGTGGTATTAGAGCAGGCACAATGAATGGTCCTGTTCAGATTTTAGTTCCTGTTTTGGATGGCAAAAATTACAACCGGTGGTGTGTGCAAATGAGGGTGCTTTTTGATTACCACGAATTGCTAAGTGTAGTGGAAAATGGAGTTGCTGAAATTGCAGAAAATGCTAATGATGCCCAAAAGCATGCCTACCGTGAGAGTAAGAAAAAGGACAAGAAGGCATTATATTTCATCCATCAAGGGGTGAATGATGAAGTGTTTGAGAAGATTGAAGATGCAGCTACATCAAAGCAAGCATGGGATACCCTGATGACAGCATACAAAGGTGCGGAGAAAGTCAAGAAGGTAAAGCTCCAAACCTTAAGACGTCAATATGAGCTCCTACAAATGGAGTTTTCTGAACTTGTTGCGACTTATATAAATCGAGTTCTTGCTTTGACAAACAAAAGTAAAGTATATGGAGAGGAGTACAGTGAGCAGGCCAAAGTGGAGAAAATTTTGCGGATTGTGGTAGCAATAGAAGAAGCCCATGATTTGTCCCAGATGACTGTTGATGAGTTGTCAGGTTAATTAGAAGCACATGAGCAAAGAATGAATGGGAAGCAGATAGAGAAGCCGATTGAGCAACCCTTCCAAAGCGAAGTCTCTATCAAAGGTGATCAAGGTGGTGAAACTAGTCAAAAGCATGGTGGTTCTCGTGGAAGAGGACGAGGACGTGGTTTCTACTTCAACAAAGGTCGTGGAGTAGGAGGCAATGACCAAGGAAAATCAAACTTTGGCTATCAGCAAAATTCAAGAGGCCATGGCCGTGGCAGAGGAAGGTATGACAAATCCAATGTTGAATGTTACAATTGTCATAAATATGGCCATTATTCCAGTGAGTGCAGATACAAGGATAATACTCAGAAGGCTCATTTTGTACAAGGAGATGATGATGCTGACAGTAGCCATGCTCTCCTGATGGTCACTGCTGTTGGTGAAACACCAAACTTTCACACATGGTTCCTTGACACTGGTTGTACTAATCACATGAGTGGCAAAAGGGAGCTATTTGCTGATCTTGATGAGTCCTTTCGCACAAAAGTGAAATTTGCTGATGATAGAACTATACCAATAACTGGAAAAGGAAGAATTCTCATCAACTTGAAGAATGGAGATCACAAGTACATTTCAGATGTGTTCTATGTTCCAGGCATGAAGAGCAATTTGCTAAGTGTGGGTCAATTGCTTGAAAAGGGGTATGTTATGAGCCTGCGTGATGATCAATTCTCCATTCTAGATGAGCAAGGTATGCTTATTATTAAGACCCCTTTGAGCAAAAATCGTATGTTTCAAGTTGATATTTTTGGTGGAGCTTATAATTGTCTCAATGCAATTATAAAAGATGAATCTTGGCTTTGGCACTTGCGGTTTGGACATATAAATTTTCAAAGTTTAAAATTGCTTGCTCAAGGACAAATGGTAAAAGGCCTGCCCAGTATACATAATCCTGATCAGTTGTGTGAAGCCTGCACTCTTGGGAAGCATCATAGAATGCCTTTTGCAGCAGAACATCAATAGCGAGCAACTCAACCACTTGAGCTTGTCCATTCTGATGTGTGTGGCCCAATGAATACAATGTCAAATGGCAATAATAGGTACTTTCTCACCTTCATTGATGATTTCACTCGAAAGATTTGGGTCTATTTGCTGCAAAGAAAGTCTGAAGTTTTCGATTTCTTTAAGAGATTCAAGGTGCATGTTGAAAAGCAAAGTGGTCATCTTATTAAAATGCTGAGAACTGATAGTGGAGGTGAATATACTTCCAATGAATTTAATAAATTTTGTGAAGAA